TTAAAGCAGCCGTCCCGTCCCGGAAACATCCCGCAAAAACAACCAGCTCCCGGCTGGGATGCAGCTCTCCGAAGTCACGGAACGGATGCGGATGCGGAAAGAAAGGAAACGTGAAGCAGTCTGGCTACACCGGAGGGTGAATGGCCGGCTCTGCAGAAGGAAAAGTTCAAAAAATAAATTGTTTTATACATTTTAAAAAAGCATTCCCCTAATGTGAACAATTAAGATCGTTTCTATTTACACCTGCTGTCCCACCACAGTGATTAAAAGTGCCGCCTTTCACTTTAAAAAGTGTCCTAGTCTGAGTAATGGTACATGGTCACTGGAGCCATGGCATCTTTCTGCCACAAGGTGGCAGCATCTTCCCACAGTTGAAAAAGTACCGCGGCTTGTGGGCGGTTCCAGTGTCTGTGGCAGAGAAAGGGGCCCCTGGGGTAACCCAGTACAGCTCTGCAAATAAAGCTAACACCGCGAGGGTGCCTTAAAATGCAAGGATTTGGGGGGGGGGATCACCTGGTCCGTCCCCTGCTGTGGGACAGATGGCACGGCCGTACTGGCAGCTGTGAGAAGCTGGCCTCTCTCAGCTCGTAAAATCAGACTTGTTTCAAGCATTTTCGGGGACACCCTGGGAAGGACCCTGCTCCCAGCAGCTTCCGAGGTCGGGAGGTACAGACTGCTCAGGTGTGTCCAACAACTGTTTTCCAGGTGATACTTTGTCAGCTCTTTTCTCTTTTTGTCCCTGTTATTGGGTTGAATTTTGTCCCCAAAACATGCAGAGATGAGTGTGAGCTGAGGTCTTAGGCAATATGCCCCTATGTTCTAGGAAATGAGCTAGGGTTCTGTACCTTGTGCTTTAACCAGCCGTGTGTGTGGACATAAACCACAGTGCTCTCCTGCTGCCTCCGAATGCCTGTTGTGTCTGGAGGGGTGTTAATGATGCTGGATTGCAGTCTTTACTATCAGCCACATGATGGCGGAGGTTGTCAAACCTGCTAAGTGCCATTGGACAGCAATCTTCTGTTATCCACAGGGGAATACGTTCCAAGACACCCCGTGGATGCCTGAAACCACAGAGAGTATCAAACTCTCTCTATATAATGTATTTTGCTACCCATACATACTTATGATAAAGCTTAATTTATAAAGTAGGCACAGTAAGAAATTAACAATAATAACTAATAATAGAATAGAACATTCATAACAATATACTAGAATAAGAGTTATGTGAATGGGGTCTCTCTCTTGTCTCTCTCTCAAAATCTCTTATTGTACTGTACTCACCCTTCTTCATCTATAATAATAAAAGGGTAATATGCTAATTAGACCAGAAGTCCTTCCGGATGAAGCTGGGGCTACAAGGGAAGCCCGGGTCCCGGGTGCCAGAGGGAAGCCGGTGCCAGCAGCCAGGGGAACGAAGACCTACTCTTGCACGAATTTCGTGCATCGGGCCTCTAGTTTTGTCATAATGTGAGATGACACAATACCTAGGTGATGAGATAAAGTGAGGTGAGTGACGTAGGCATGGGACTTAGCGTTAGACTATTATGAGGGTTACTTGAACACAAGCACTTTGATACCTCGACAGTCCATGTAGTAACCAAGATGGCAGATACTAGGTGACTATTGGGAGAGAGTGTCTGTGGCGTGGAGACGCTGGACACAGGAAGGCTTCACGTCCCACCTGCGATAGAGCAGGACAGCGCAAGATTTCATCACACTCCTCAGAATGGTGCACAATTTAAAACGTATGAATTGACCCAGCTGGTGTGGCTCAGTGGTTGAGCGTCAATCTATGAATCAGGACACATGCCCAGATTGTGGGCTGGATCCCCAGTAGGGGGCGTGCAGGAGGCAGCCGATTAATGATTCTCTCATCATTGATGTTTCTGTCTCTCCCTCTCCC